GGGAACGCGACGATTGGGTGCGCTATCCCTTCAGAGTGAAGCAGGGCAACCTCGACGACAAGATATGGCATGGCGCCTTCGGCAGGGCGAGGCACGGAGCGCACTTCCCTCTGGTGGCTTTCACGCACAATACGTGCCGCAGGTCACCTGAAAGACTCGCCGCGAGGTTGGAACGCAGGAAGGGCGGCAGGAAGGGCGGCAAGAAGGGCGGCAAGAAGGGCAGCTACGCGGACACCGCAGTTGCGGGGAAGGGCGTCCGACCCCAGATGGGAACCGCAGTTGCGGGGAGAGACGCTGGGGCTGAGCGAGCTGGGAACACGCCACCGCCGCAAGCTGCCAACGGCGACGATGCGACCCCTTCTTGTGCCGCAGTGGCGGCTGGGTCCTGGGACGCCAGCGGCAGCGGCGCATGGGAGGCGCGCAGTCCCGCCACGAGATGGCAGGGCTGGTCCTGGTGGGACTGGAGCTCGAGCGAATGGGGCGCTGATGGCGCGCAGTGGTGGCCCTCTGATCATGCCGCAGTTGCGGACAATGCCCCTGAGGGCTCGCCTCCTCAGCGTGAAGTCGAGTGGGGCTCGAGCGGGCGACCTGCCGAGCGCCCTCCGTGGAGCTTCGAGGCGCAGCGTTGGTGATGGCCGCAGTTGCGGGCAAGTGGAGCATGATGTTGATTGCCGCAGTTGCGGACAGTGTACGCTGGAAAAATCATCATCATCATCAATCATAATCATCATCATATCATCATATCATACGTTCAAAGCAGTGCCGGGGCACTGCTTTGAACGCGTTCAAAGCAGTGCCGGGGCACTGCTTTCGATCGTCGCCTCGTCGCCGTTATAAGGGCTTTCGGATTAGGTGCGCTCTCGTCACAGCGGACGTCTACCCCTCCCTCCCATCCCTTACCATGGCGTAGATTTTCTCTTGACTCGCACAATCGGATGTCGTAGCATGGCATAGCATTACACGGCATAGCATGGTGTTGAAGACTAACGCGTAGCCTGACATAGCATGGCGTGGCGACGCCCAAAAGTGGGTGGGGGCTTCCGCGGCCCCAAACATCAACGAATCGATACCGAACGTGTAATCATTTTCGATGGTTTCTTCGGGATGCATTTTTTGATTTGGGGGCTTACTTGGAAGGACCGAAAGCCATGCCGTGGCATGGCATTGGAAATAATGACGCTAGCGCTGCAGCGGGAGCACGATTCGGAACGAGTGGAAGCGCGGAAATGAGGCAAGCGCTGCAGCGGGAGCACGATTCGGAACGAGCGGTAGCCCGAAAATGAGGTCAGCGCTTCGGCGAGAGCAGCATCTTGAACAACAGCCCAAGCGCGGAAGCGCGGACATGAGGACGCGTAGTCCGACATAGCATGGCGTGGCGACGCCCAAACGGGGGGTGGGCTTCTGCGGCCCAAGAAATCAATGAATGGACACCGAATGTGTAATTACTTCCGATGGTCTTTTTCGGGGGGGCACTCCGCGTGGGAGAACTGAAAGACATTCCGTGGCATGGCGCTGGAACTATTGACGCCGGCGCTACAGCGGGAGCATGATTCGGAACGAGCGGAAGCGCGGAAATGAGGCCAGCGCTGCAGCGGGAGCACGATTCGGAACGAGCGGTAGTTCGAAAATGAAACCAGTGCCTCAGCGAGAGCAGAATTTTTAAAAACAGCCCAAGCGAAAACCCGTTACCCGGGAATCTTATTTGAAAAAAGCGAGTACGTGAAGGGGGACCCGCAATGTTCCGGACGTCACCAGTGGAGAGAGGAGAGTACTGTTCATATTGTGTAATTGTGGAGGATGAAGAGGAAGAGCCGGAGGATGAGGAGGAAGAGGAGGGGGAGGAGGAGGAGGAGGGGGAGGAGGTAGGTTCGAGGTTCTGGGTTCGAGAGGGTTTTGTCGCCGTTTCTCCCCCCCCGGGGGCTGTGTTTCTGGGCCCTGGAATCGTCGGGAACGGATCCGGGTTGAAACCAGTCCCTAGATGAGCCCCGGGAGGGGTCCAGGGGCCGATTCTGAGAGGGTCTGCCTTCAACCCCCCTCCGGACCAAGTAGCTCCGACCCCTGGCCGCCGCTAGTGACAGTTTTTGTGTTATTCCTTGTGTTTTGCCGATCGGCGCGGGCCCCACAACCCCCCTCCCCCCCCCTTGAATGTATGTTGGCTGTTTTTTTGGGCGCCTGTTTCGAGCAGGCGGAGTCCCTCCCCCATGGGACGCACGGCTACACACACTCGCACCAAGCAGAGGTCTGGAGCCAGACCTCCTCCCCCCCTGCCGCCCAATGTCGAAACGCCCAGAAAAATTAGCCCGACGAAGGACTTAACCATATGCAGTTGCGAGTACCGCATTGTGGGTACCGGTTTCGGTGAAGCTCCCTATGGGGCCACGAAACGTGTGAGTGGTGCGCCGAAATCGGTGGCGCGGACGCATGTGGACACCGCCACTGGGGCCTTCGGTGGAGCTTCCCATGGGGCCACGAAGCGCTGTCCTCGGGGGGGGAGACGCATGCGAACTGCGCCATCGGGACCTGCGCTGGGGTTCCTTATGGGGCCACGAAGCGCTGTCCCGGGGGGGGAGACGCATGCGAACGGCGCCAATGGGACCTTCGGTGGAGCTCCCTATGGGGCCAGGAAGCGCTGTCCTGGGTGCCGTTGGCGCATGCGGCTTGTACCACTGGAGCCTTCGGTGGGGCTCGCTGTGGGGCCACGACTCGCTGTCCTGGGTGGGGGAGGCGAATGCGAACGGTACCACTGCTGGGGCTTTCGGTGGAGCTCCCTATGGGGCTACGAAGCGCTGTCCTGGGTGGCGTTGACGCATGCGGACCTTGCCACTGGGGCCTTCGGTGGAGCTCCCTGTGGGGGCACGAACCGTGTGAGGGGTGTGCCTAAATGGGTGGCGGTGACGCATGCGGACCCTGCCACTGGAGCCTTCGGTGGAACTCCTTATGGGGCCACGAGGCGCTGTCCTGGGTGGCGTTCACGCATGCGGCCTGTGCCACTGGGGCCTTCGGTGGAGCTCACTATGGGGCCACGAAGCGCTGTCCTGGGTGGCGTTGACGCGTGCGGACCCTGCCACTGGAGCCTTCGGTGGAGCCTCCTATTGGGCCATCAAACGCTGTCCTGGGTGGCGTTGACGCATGCGGACCCTGCCTCTGGAGCCTTCGGTGGAGCTCCTTATGAGACCACGAAGCGTTGTCCTGGGTGGCTTTGACGCATGCGGCCTGTGCCACTGGAGCCTTCTGTGGAGCTCCCTATGGGGCTACGAAGCGCTGTCCTGGGTGGCGTTGACGCATGCGGACCCTGCCACTGGAGCCTTCGGTGGAGCTCCCTATGGGGCCACGAAACGGTGTCTTGGGTGGCGTTGACGCACGCGGACCCTGTCACTGGAGCTTTCGGTGGAGCTCATTATGGGGCCACGAAGCGCTGTCCTGGGTGGCGTTGACGCATGCTTCCTGTGCCACTAGAGCCTTCGGTGGAGCTCCCCATGGGGCCACGAAACGTTGTCCTGTTTGGCGTTGACGCATGCGGCCTGTGCCATTTGAGCCTTCGGTGGAGCTCCCTGTGGGGCCATGAAACGGTGTCTTGGGTGGCGTTGACGCATGCGGGCCCTGCCACTAGAGCCTTCGGTGGATCTGATTAAGGGGCCACGAAACGCCGTCCTGGGTGGCGGTGGCGCATGCGGACCCTGCCACTGGAGCCTTCGGTGGAGCTCCCTGTGGGGCAGCGAAAACGTACGAGGGGTGTGCCGACATGATGGACATGCGGAGAGCAGAGGCAAGGAGGGGGAGGAGGGGGGAGGGGGCAGCGGAAGCAGGAGGAGGAGGAGGAGGAGGAGGAGGAGGAGGAGGAGGAGGAGGAGGAGGAGGAGGAGGAGGAGGAGGAGTGACGCGGGGCGCTATCTCTTCCAAACGAAGACCCAACATCACCGGATGGTTGGGAAAACGATGACCTTGCTTTTCCCCCCCCCGTTTGGACCAACCATCTCAGACCCCTGGCCGCCGCTAAGCCATAGACACACGTCACATGGTGGTGCATTTGACGGCTTTCCATGCCAGATTTCAGCGGGCCTCGCAATCCTGATCGGGGCAGCCGCGCGCTCGTTCGCGGCTTCTCGTGCGGGCTCTTTGTCGCTCGCGCCTCTCCTGGGCCTCCCCGTGGCGGATGCGGGGGGCCATTCGTGCTCCGCCCATGGCTGCGCTGCGCTCGTAATCAGAGCAATGTCAAACGCCTTCCGCTCGACGAAGATGACGACTGACGACGACGATCAAGGGCGAACTACGACGAAAGACGGCGACCACGACGAACGGCCACGATGAGCGAGGACGAGGACAAGGACGACCAGCAATTGTGTATGGAGTTCAAGCTGAGTTGCTACGTGGCGGGATTTGTAACATATTCTAGATTCGTCATGCGGGGGAGGATGCGCACATGGAATCCTGCTCTCGAGATCCATTCCTTCGGATTGAAGGGGCTCAAACGCTCATTGTGCGCTCATCAATTTGCGATGTCAGGGGGGATGGAGTTCGCACATGTACAACATATTCATCCTCATCGTCGTCATTGCACACACTGTGGCTGACTGTGTACACGATGACCTGGTAACGATGACCTGGTAATATTCAGTACTGTGTAGTGCTCTGTAGCTGTAGCAGTACTGGTAGATGTATCAGTGGGATTAGCAGTAGCCGTGTTGGCAACAGCTCGGAAAGCGTTAGCAACAGTCATGATTTTAGGCGTCCTGGCAGTCGTACCGTCCACCTCCACTTCACCTCATCCAGCACAGCCGGCACCGGTTTAACCCCGAGCACAGCGTCCACCTATACCTTGGCATCGCTCGGACGTGTGCATTTTTCCTCCGGCGAGGACCATCGAGGAGCATCCTTGATCATTTGGCGAAAAACCACGCACGAAACCGACAAAAAGCACAGGGAATGGACGTCCGAGCGATGCCCAGATACCTCCACAACCCATTCTGCTTCCATTCCCGTGGCCTCGTCCAGCCGCCAAGGTCGTCACCATGCTCATCAAGCTCCTGCCGCCGCCAGCGCTGCAGCCACTCATCGAGAGGCTCCAGGAGAAGGGCGCCCCAGCGATCGCCAGGCCATGCATCCGTGGGACTGGCCGCCGCCGCGGTGCTCCATCATTTTTGATATACGCGGGAGCTCCGCCATTCTTAATCTTGCGTGTTTTGATCAAGGCGGTTTTCGAATGGCGGGCAACTGTTGTTTGGTCTCTTTGCTGCATGATGCTGTTTTGGGCCACTGTGTTCAGTTGGTTTGAAGAGTTACGAGGACGCCAGGCACGCGTATGATGTGTTAGCTCGAGCTGCTTAAGCAACGGTCTCATACGGCGGGCGAGGACTTCCGCTTGTTCGTCGTTCCCCAAGGGCCTTCGATAGTTACCCGAGGCGTCTCGACCACGTTTCGAAGGAGCCAGATCTCACCGAGCGACACTTCGATTGTGTACGAATGCTGCGTTGAAAGGTGTCGAACTAGGCTTTGGCGATTGAATACTCACAAAGCTTCGGGCGGTCTCCGCTGACCTCCGAAGGTTTCGACAGTTAAGACGATTGAAGAAGGTCCGCCCCTGAATTGCAGCAGGAGGCGTGTGGAGTCGGAGGAGCTGGAGGAATAGAAGGCAAAGGGGCGACAGCCATGCATAGCCGTTTTGACCGCGCTTAAGACCACGTATTTAGAAGTTCCGGACGATTTCCACATTCTATGTTTTGTCGGCTGGCTCATCGTTGCGGTGGTTGTTGGCGAGTGCCTCTTTCTCACGCATTGTTTGCTCGTAAGGTTGCAGCCTTCCTACGCTGTCACTTGCAGCACGTTTCCCGTGGATATTCCCTTCGATGTTTTTTTGCGAGGCCGAGTGGCGATCATGGACGGGCTTACCCGTTCGCCACGACGCGCGCGCGCGCAGTTCTGGGGAGCTCGCATCAGCAGCAGTGCGGTCGCGGCGACACTGCAGCCCTGCGTTTTTGGCGGCGCGCAGCGCTCTTTTTGCCTTCCAGCTGCACAATGTCTTGCACGTGCGGGCTGCCCCGCGGCGCGGCTGCGCCGAGCCTGCGCGACGATGTTCTGTCCGTGCGGGCGGTATGCCTCCGCGCGGCGACGCCTCCGCGTGGCGGCCAGCCTGCCGCCGAGCTTGTTCCTTCTGGGCGCGCGGCGTCCCCGCCCGCTTTCCTCCCTTGGCGGTGCGCCAACTATTCAGAGTGCTCGGGGATGGACAGACCTCCTACCCTGAACGTCGATTGAGGAATTGGCCGTTTTCGGTTCGCGAGAGGGCGTCGCGGCCGTCCTTTTTGCGGGTCCAGGTCCGTTGGTTTCGGTCCCAGGACGTCTTCACTAAGGGGAAGGTCTACTACAGGGAGGTTTGTCCACCGCCGAAGTGCCTACTCCGAATTTCTTGACAAGCGTCGGGGCGGGCGTCGCCCCCGCCGACAGCCTCACATCGGCCCCCGTCGCGGGTGGCCGCCGCACGCCGAAGGCGCTCCGACCCCCGTCGCGGCGCTACGACGAGGCGAGGTTGACCCCCGTCGGGGGGGTACCCCCCCACGCTTACTGAGAAAACTCAGAATGTCCGTGTTTCGTCCAGCGCGTGCGTTTGCCACGTTTTTGGGGCGCGCTGGCCCCACGGGCCCCGCGGGCCTCGCGGGGTCCTCGTTGGCCCCGCAGGTCCCACCGGCCCCGCGCGGCCCGCAGGCTTAGGTCGGGCATGTCCCCCTAGAGGCGGATTTTGGTCGAAAAGGAATGCATAGTCCAAACATGCTCAAGCATAGTCAACAACATGTTTGATACATCGTCCCCCGACGATTTTTTTTTTTGTTGTTTTAAAATATTCTTCCTGTGCAGGGACATGCCCGACTTAACCACGGGCCCCACCTTCCTGGGAGGCCTCGCACGCCCGGGGCAGCTCCCGGCCCCGCTGGCCCCGCAGGGCCCTCGGGCCCTCTTACCTAGGCCTCCCAGATGGGGTCGGAGTATCGGGCCGGGCGAAAGGGGGGGATTGGGAAAGGGGGGGTTACGAAATCTGCTGCATGCAGCTGGTTTCGGCCTCACCGAGGGGCCCATTCCTCGATACATAGCCGCCTCCGGCGCCGGGAGGCGCCGGGAAAATCAGCTGCGTGAGCTGATTCTCAAACCCCCCCTTTGCTATCCCCCCTTTCGCCCGACCCGAGAGTAGGTGGTGTCGGAGGGCCGCGCCGATGCATCGACGATGCATCGGCGATGCGGCTGGATGCGGAGCCCGAGTGTCTTCGCGCGGGCGTCTCCGATGCATCGCCAGTGCATCGCCGATGCGTCGCCGGTGCATCGCCGATGCATCGCCGATGCATCGGCGAGGCGGCGCGATCCTCCGACCCCATCTGCTCCGACCCTATCTAGGAGGCCTCTAGCTACAGGTACCGCAGGTCCCACAAGTCCCACAGGCCCCACAGTCGCAGGCCTAGAGGTTGGCACCAACACCGATATCGGCGGTGCGCCTCCACCGAGGGAAGAAGATCCCGACCTCGGTGATGGTGGTACTATTCGGGCTTCCCAGGTGGCCGAAACTATTGCCGCCAACACCGAAGTCTAGGATCATCTCTCCCCTGTGGAGGCACCCCCCTGTTTTGGTGTCGGTGCTCATGTCCAGGCCTCCAACAGTCGGGCGACGAAATCTATACATATCCACTGCTCCCTGACCATGCCCATCTTGAACCCAGGAGCTGTGTATGCGCCCTCCTGGCCAAGCCAGGAGGGCGTGGCGTGTACACCGCTGCGGGGTTGAGGATGGGCCTGGCCAGGGAGCAGTGGATATGTATAGATTTCGTCGCCCGACAACATGTCCCACAGGTCCCACACGTCCCGCAGGCTTCGCAGGTCTCACGACTCACACGGGTGGCGCCACGGGCCTCGCAGGGTCCAGCATGCCTCGCGGGTCCCGCAAGTCCCGCGTGTTCCGCAGGTCTCGCAGGTCCCGCAGGTCCCACGGGTCCGACAGGGCCCACAGGCCCCACAGGTCCCACAGGCCCCACGCATCGCTCGGACGTGTGCATTTTTCCTTCGGCGAGGACCATCGAGGAGCATCCTTGATCATTTGGCGAAAAAGCCACGCACGAAACCGAGAACAACACAGGGAATGGACGTCCGAGCGATGGCCAGGCGGGCCCTACAGGTCTTGCAGGCGTCGCAGGTCCCGTAGGTCCCACAGGTCGAGGTCCCACAGGTCTCACATCTCCAACGAGCCGCCCCGCTGGTCTCGCATGTCTCACAAGTCCCACTGGCCCGGGGGTTTCGCAGGTCTCGCAGATCCAGCAGGTCCCGCAGGTCCCACAGGTCCCAGGGCTCCCGCAAGTCTCACAAGTCCCACAGGTCTCACAGCTTCAGCAGGTCTCGCAGTTCTCGTAGGTCGTACGTGTCCCGCTGGTCCCACAGGGCCCTTATGCCACCTTTGCTATTCTTAGGGTGCTGTGATCGAGTAAGGTCTGAAACGCTGGGCGCGCGAAATTGTCTCAGCTGTGCGCAGTGCAGACTGGGCCATGGGCGCAAGCGGGAAACGCTGCCCCATAGCTAGGGTATTTCGCCCGTCCTTGTTTTTTATGTGAAATTGCCGAGGCGGTGGCTTCCATCGTGGTCAGTTTTCATACCGTAAGGGCTTCGCCCCCTGCCGCCGGCCCCCTGTCTCGGATAATGGGAGATGCAAAAGCTAAATCATGAGGTCCGGGCGCTGCCGTGAAGCAGTGTCGGGACCTGTTTGTTTTTCGACCCTGACCCTACGGATCTGCGTCACGGGTGCCACCGAATTTCAGAAATGTGGCAAATCCCGTGTGTTTTCGGACCCTGACCCTACAGATCTGCGTGAGGGGTGCCGCCGAATTTTAGAAATGTGGCAAATCCCGTGTGTTTCTGGACCCTGACCCCGCCGATCTGCGTCACGGGTGCCGCCGAATTTTAGAAATGTGGCAAATCCCGTGTGTTTTTGGACCCTGACCCCGCCGTTCTGCGTGAGCGGTGCCACCGGATGTCAGAAATGTGGTGAATCCCATGTGTTTTTGGACCCTGACCCCGCCGATCTGCGTCACGGGTGCCACCGAATTTGAGAAATGTCCAGTTGCGTCGCATCTTCGGGGGATCTCGTCTGACCTGCATCGTGCAGTCTTGTCTTGTGCCCGACGCGGGCCCGATTGGATTCGACACGCATCCGACGCGGATCCGACGCCGATTCGACGCGGATCCGACTTGCTCGACATGGAATCGGCGCGGGCTCGGCACGGATAGCTGGCGCCATGGGACAGAGAAGGTCCTCGAAGATGCAAAGCAGAGCCAGACCGACCGGACAGCACGCCTCTGCTGGCCGCTCCCGGCCGCCTGCGCGCTGCCAGGGCGGTGGCCGCGCGCAGCGCCACGACGTATTTACAGGAAGGAGGAGGAGGAGGAGGAGGAGGAGGAGGAGGAGGAGGAGGAGGAGGACAACGAGGAGGTCTGGACTCGGACGAAGATCCCGCCATAGGCACCAGTACGGCTGCCGCGTTCTCGAGCGGCTGGTTGAGCACTGCCCCGCGGCGCAGATCGCCCCGCTGCTGGACGAGGTGGCGGCCGACTCCGAGGACCTTCGGGGAGGGGCGGGCTGGGGAGGGGAGGTCCTTCACCAGAGCAGGGCACCATAGGATTCCTTGGGATCCCATAGGAATCCCTTAGGGATCCCATGGGACTCCTTAGGAATCCTTAGGAATCCCATAGGATTTCTATAGGCTTCCCTCGGCATCCTATAGGATTCCTATAGGATTCCCATAGGAATCCCATCGGATTCCCATAGGAATCCCATCGGCTTCCCATAAGAATTTCATCGGAATTCCCTATCGAATTTCATCGGACTCCTCCTCTTTTCGGATGCGAGCGAGGGGGGAACTGAGCAGGGGAAGGCCTTTTTCGGAAGGTGGCGGCTTTTTGAGAAGGCCTTTTCCCTCGCACTCCCCCTCGGGCGTGCAGTCAGAGCCCGCGGTGAGGAGCCCGTACGGTACTTCCGCAAGGGCACCCTGGCGCCCTTGCCTCCTCGGCCAATCGTTGGCCAATGTCCTTTTCCAAGGGCGTTCCACTTGCAAGGCCCAGGCGCCTTGCGTCCTTGTATCTGCGCCCTTGCCATCCTTTTCGACGGCTTGCACCAGTCCTGGGCCTGGGGTGGGGCCCGGCCAGAGCCAACGCAGGCGCACAGCTGCTTTCACCCTGCCCATGCGCCATGGCCCACGGCCTCGTCCCGTTCATCCTGCGGTTTCGGTCTGTTCCTGCATGCTCACGGAGCGGGTTGCCGGTTCAGTATTGGCTCCCGTTTCGTCTCACGTTCTGCTCACGTTTCATATATGTTGTCTGGCTGGTAGTCGAATTGTACACCCATGCCCTGCACAGGGCCGAGCAGCCGACAGGCATGCTCGCGTGGTTCGCTCGCTCCCGTTTCGTCGTGGGGCCTGTCCATTCAGACAGGCCGCTTTCGGCGCGCCCGGAGGGGTCCCGCCCGATTCGGCGGACCATGCAACATAGATGTTCGTATTCTGGTTGTTCGATGATGGACAAATGGAGAGCCGCACTCTGTGTGCGAAAGCATTGTGAAGGAACAGGCTCCGGTGTGGATGCCCCTGGATTGAGGATCCATCAGGAACCAGAAGCCGAGATTGACGTTCATGCCGAGCCCATTTGCAAGCGTTTAGTCGTTGACCCAAACAGAGATTGCAGAAACCAGGAAGTTGCTCGGACACTGTTTCGAGAAGCCTTTGGGCGCAGTGAGAGCATATGCATTCAAGCGGGAGGGAGTAGGCTATGTCGTATCGGCCACTGCGCTCATTCCCAAGAGGAAGACATGAACAGTGCCAGCGACACATGAATCAGCGACACATGAACGTTCGAATTCGATAAGAAATTAATGTATCAATATTCCCGATGCATCTTAATGCAAGGAATGGTAACACATGTGGACAATCACCTTCCAGTGGCAGCTGGGGTGCTCACACATGCGATTCACCATTGTTACTGAGAGTCGACGTGCGCAAACTAAATTTACAAATGCATGTCGCGGCCGAAAATCGGGCGTTGAATGAATTGTCAGTGCAAGGCAGCATGTTGTGATGTAATACGTACACGCGCATGCGGCTACATCACTCCCACTGTTCAATAGGCAAGTCCCATGGAGCGTTTAGTCACGATGTGCACACGCCTCTGCGATGGAACGTTCCATGATCTGGCATCTACCCTGTTTTAGGGTTGCCTTGGGCTGGCGTTAAACAGCCTGGGCGGCCCCATATCACTGGTGTGCCAGAGTGGCACTGCGCCAAACGTGACAGCACACATGTTCTTTACACCATGCAATGTCAGAGTGAGGAGGCCGAACGGTCATTCGTTGTCCCTGGGTACGTGGCTTAAGTGCGGGCGGATCCGTGGTGAAGATTCTGCTTGTTGCATTGTTGTTGTTGTTGCTGCTGATGCTGTTGTTGTTGAACTCTCACTTCTGAAGAACAATTTTTGTTGATCCCCCCCACCGTTGCATACTATTGTCTCTCAATCAAAGTGTGCCCCTCGACGCTCGCACCCTGCTTTTTTATCAGGGAAAGTCTTGAGGCTCAAACTGGGCCCCTGGCCCCCGGGTTACAACAACAACAACAACAACAATCATTTTACCCGAACGCTCAGTGTTCTCACCAGTGCCAGGGTTTTCATGCGACGCGAGACAATACCCCCACTTCGTGGGGGGGCAGTTCAAGCTCTACCAAATATCCAAACGACTCTTCGCGACCACCCAAACCCAGCTTCCCGCCCTATGACGTTGGGACACTTCACTTCGTGGCGTGCGGACGACCGTGGCTACTACACTGGCGTGGGGTACACACCCACAGAACTTGGTCACTTATTCGGGGCGCGCGTGTGCCCAGCATCCTGCAATTGTGACATACAATACATGACACAGACAGACAGAGAGAGAGACAGAGAGCAGACAGAGAGAGAGACAGAGAGAGCGGAGTTGGTCACATTTTTGGGGCAAGTTCCTGAGATCGTCGTGTTTTTTGTTGGTCTTGCGCGCGCGAATGTCCACTTTACTTTTTTTTGCAAGGGAGTATTGAAATTTGATTATGTTAGAACAAGAAAAAGTAGCTCGCGCGAGCTCATGTAACATAAATGTTGAAAAACCATTGGTTTTGTGGGAGTCGGACAGCGCGCGCGGGATGAAATTTGGACATTTTTTTTTGAAAAACCATTGGGTTTTTGATGTTTTTATGTTGAAATCGTTACGAAACCTAAGGTTCTGGAAGGATTTCGTCTTGCGCGCGCGAATGTCCACTTTACCTTATTTTTTGCAAGGGATTATTGAAATTTGATTATGTTAGAACAAGAAAAAGTAGCTCGCGCGAGCTCATGTAACATAAATGTTGAAAAACCATTGGTTTTGTGGGATTCGGACAGCGCGCGCGGAAGGACATTTTGACAATTTTTTCTTAAAAAAAACCATTGGGTTTTTGATGTTTTTATGTTAAAATCGTTACGAAACCTAAGGTTTTGGAAGGATTTCGTCTTGCGCGCACGAATGTCCACTTTACCTTATTTTTTGCAAGGGATTCTTGAAATTTGATCAAGTAAGAACAAGAATTTTCATTTTCTATTGTTTTTTGCAAGGGAAAACGAGCGTCAACAAAAAACCGGATCCGGGGGTAATCCACTTTTCTGAAGCTTTCGCGAAAAAATGATGAAAATGTAGCTGCGGCCTAGGCGCGGCGCAGAGGTCGCGCACCAGGGGTCCCAACAATAATAATTCTTAAGAAGGAATAATGTTCAACAACAACAACGGCTCCCGCTTGAGACTTCCTCACAATTTAGCCAGGACCCCCGCTCCCGCCCGAGACTTCCTCGCATTTTATTCAGGAATCGCGCTCTCGCTTGGGACTTCCATACAATTTATTCAGGAATCGTTCTCCCGGCGTTCTGGAGTCGCGCTCTCGCTGAAGGCATGCTTGCCATTTACTGAAGAATAGCGCCCTTGCGTTGGAATTTCCGGCAATTCACTCAAGCGCCGCGCTCCCGACACCCAGGCACCCAGGAGTCGTGCTCACGCTTAGGACTCCCTCTCAGATCACATCGGAATTGTGATCTCGCTGCCCTTCGTGGCTCCGTTGCAGCCTTTCGTGGCTCCCTCGCTTTGTTTCGTGGCCCGGTTGCAGCCCTTCGTGGCCCCCTCGCTGCCCTTTGTGGCCCCGTTGCAGCCCCTCGTGGCCTCCTCGCTGCCCTTCGTGGCCCCGTTGCAGCCTTTCGTGGCCCCCTCGCTTTGTTTCGTGGCCCCGTTGCAGCCCTTCGTGGCCCCCTCGCTGCCCTTCGTGGCCCCCTCGCTGCCCTTCGTGGCCCCGTTGCAGCCCTTCGTGGCCCCCTCGCTGCCCTTCGTGGCCCCGTTGCAGCCTTCCGTGGCCCCCTCGCTGCCCTTCGTGGCCCCGTATATGTATGCCCTTCGTGGCCCCCGCTCGTTCGCGCCCGTGGTGGCCCCATATGCATGCGTTTCGTGGCCCCGCTGTCGCCCTTCGTGGCCCCCTCGCTGCCCTTCGTGGCCCCGTTGCTGCTCTCAGTGGCCCCGTCCTTGCCTTCCGCGGCCCAGTATACGTATGCCCTTCGTGGCCCCCGCTTGTTCGCGCCCGTTGTGGCCCCATGTGCATGCCCTTCGTGGCCCCGCTGTCGCCGTTTGTGGCCTCCTCACTGTCCTACGTAGCCCAGTTGCTACCCTCAGAGGCCCCGTCGTTGCCTTCTGTGGCCCCGCATTATCTGCCCTTCGTGGCCCCCGCTCGTTCGCGCCCTTCGTGGCCCCATACGCATTCCCTTCGTGTCCCCGCTGTCGCCCTTCGTGCCCTACTTCGTGTCCTTGTGGCCCTGCTGTCGTTCTCTCTCGCTTTCGCTCGTCGTCGTCGTCGCCGTCGTCGTCGCCGTCGTCGTCGATGTCGTCGTCGTCGTCGTCGTGGTCGGTCCCCTGTCCGTCCCTCTTGGGGTCGGGTCGACGGTCCGCGGCCGCCCCGCCGATCAGCGCTGCCGCTGGCCAGACCGACGGTCCCCGGCCGCCCCGCCGCTTGCCGGGGCCCGGCCTGCAGGGCAGACAGGTATACCCCCCCAAATGGGTTCGATCGAAGACGAAGAGGGCGGGTATCGAGGGTTCGGGAAATACGCGTTAGTGGACATTCGAGCAGATGAGGGCGAACAGTCTTAAAATGATTGTTGTTGTTGTCGTTGTTGATGATGTTGTTGTTATTGCTGCTGCTGTTGTTGCTGTTGTTGTTGTTGTTGTTGTTGTTGTTGTTATTGTTATTGTTGTCGTTGTTGTAATTGTTGTTGTTGTTGTTGCTGCTGCTGTTGTTGTTGTTGTTGTTGTTGTTGTTGTTCTTGTTGTTGTTGTTGTTGTTGTTGTTGTCGTCGTCCCCCCCGCGACCCAGCCCGCGACCCATCCGCGACCCACCCCGCGACCCACCCGCGACCCACCCCGCGACCCGTTCGCGACCCCCCCGCGACGCGCCCGCGACCCACCCGCGACCCACCCGCGACCTGGCCGGCGACCCACCCGCGACCCACCGTCGACCCACCCGCGATCCACCTGCGACCCAACCCGCGC